AATCCAAATAATATATTCCTACATTAAAAGGACCAACCGCTATTTGAACCCCAGGGTTTAGTTTGGGTGTAAACGCCACTAAACAGGAACCTTTTTCCCCCCTTCTTCTTCTGTGTAGTGTTGCCATGTTTGTAGTGTCGGGTGAAGTCCCGTGCACGGATATAAGCTGTTTTCATATACCTGACAGCATATTTGTACTTTTTTAATGATTTTTAACCCCAGGGTTCACTGTTGAATCCATGACAGCAGCGGCTGCTGACTCAAACATAAGAATGGTTTTATAAGAGTAATAATGAGAATAATTACAATTACAAATATCATTAATAATAATAATTTGGTAACTTTTTTTTCTCTCTAAACTAATTTCTTTGCATATAACAATTTTAAGTTTAAAGGTTTACCATTTCCACATACTAAGAAAACTTGAGGTAAGGAACAGCTCTAATAAACCCTCCCTCCTTCAGCTTTCGGACGTGATTTCTATAGCGTTATAAACCGTCACATCATCTCTCCAAGCTGCCACATTCAGTCTCCCTCTGCCAGAAAGAACACCGCGGGATTGGAAATCCTCTCCTTACTATCCGCCCACGTCGAGGAGGAATTATAAAATCCATCCGTGGGTGGTTTTATCATTTGACTCGTCATTCTGGTTCAGAATGTTTTCTCGGTGCTCTTTCTGCGCAACGTCTTTCTTCCTACTGCCCTGATGTTTTGTGGACACCTCCATTGTGTGTTTCCCTTTCCTTTTCCTTCAGCGGAGAGCGTGTGCAGGCCACACAACGCTCGGCTCTTTCATGCACTCACACACACACAAACACGCACACGGGTGACGGCTGTTTTAAGTGTCAGTTATCCACATGCAGCCTTTGGAAGAACATCTGGGCTCTGTCCCAAATCTTGTGCTGCTGAGTGCAGAGGGAATAAGAAGGGGAGACTATAATACAGCCGTGCAATAGGGAAGGAGGCCATCTTAAGTCTTATTTTTTTCTCTTCTTCTTCTTCTTCTTTTTTTTTTAACATTAAGGCCATCCTTCAGTCTTTAATACAGCATTCCTCTATTTCTGTAGTAGCGTATATAAGAAAACGTGGGACTGCTCTGGGGTGGGATCTGAAATATCTTCTTTGTGGTCAAGTCCACGTTTTAAAACTGGGTGCAGTCCACCTCCGTGACAACAGGGGGAGCTCTTTCAAAGTAATTCAATGGAAGAGAGGAGCTCCTGGGAAATGTAGTGTCTTTAGTAGGGAGCAAATCTACTGTAGCCTCCCCTGTACAGCGTAGCCTACAAAGCAATAAAAGGAACACTTAGTGAATAAAATCGTTCACTAGAGTCAGAATTGCAGTTGTTTCAAGCTGTGATTCGTCATTTTCGTCAATACATCACAGAAACAGACCAAAACTAATTGATTTGTCAAACACGAGTTGCTGGTGTACACATAGCCTAATAAAAGTACACAGAACGCTTATGCCAGATACACATTGGTAAAATAAAACTGCTCATTTTCCTTAATTCAGGCTCTTTCTTAGTTGCATAAACACTATTATACCTATTAATCAGTGACTACAACATAACATATTCAAACAATACTTATTAATACTAAAAATATTGACATTTTCTTGCGAACAAACCACAAAACAGTATTAACGCCCTACGTGGACTTACCATGGCTCCAACGCCGTAGGCAGCTGGGGCAAGTGCAGCGTGGTAGGGATCTGCCGTGTAAACTCGTCCATAACTATGAGGGGGGGGGAAAGGGTTACACAAGCTAATTTAGATTAGCTGCAAAATGATTCTGACACACTGCAGGAGAGAAACAAGTGTTGTGTCTTTTTAAGAAGCCCCAAGATACCTCAAAATGTGAAGAAAGTTAGGCACACAAAATTAATTTGATGTTATTAGTATTTTTTCTGCTAGCTGTTAGAGACTACAACAGTGTCATACATACAGCCCACCCAAAGTGTTCAAATTACAGAGGAGGACGTAAACAAAATGTTTAACCTTTCCCTGTATTTTAGATCAGGAAACACGGCACTGCAAAAGTTTAAGAACAGATCACATCGTTTCGTGTAAGCCGGAGGTTCATTTTTGTATTTAACCTTTAAATGACTATTCAGATCTAAAGTCTCTTTTGTAAGGGCGTCCCAGTCGACACAAACATGACAACAATCAACTCTACATGCATCTGACATGGGAACCACCAGACGCTCAGTACTGCAATTATAAATATTGCAATTTATCACTTTTTTCAACTGTACAATAGATCCTCAAATTTAAACTTTGCAAATATCTGTTTTATCCAGTAAAATAAAATTATCTGACTTCAGTTATTTTTTTCTGCAAAAATGAGATCGTCGAGGAAACAAAACCTCCCAGAAACGTTGCCATAAGACAGACTCAGCCACAGATTTTCTCCTAGATGTAAAAAGGTTGCTGTCTTATTTTTACTCGTGTGACTGAGGCGCTGAATCAGGAGGTAGCTTTGTCAACCTAAGCCTGGTTTTTCTGTAAAAGTTTGCTCACGTTGCTAATGTAACCTCAGGATGCTGGTGCATGAGCTAGGCCTTGCTGTTCGTAGTATTTCCAGAGTATTTTAATGTTTTTAATATATCGATATCTGTCCCTGTATTGACACAATGTAGTTACGCAAAAGTACCAAATGTGATAAAAAAAGTGTCCAGGACAGTACGCTCACCTGTCACTGTAAGCTGCCGCTGCAGCTGCTGCCGCCGCAGGCGTTGCTACTGCAGCCGGCTGGGCGTATCGATACGCTGCATAGCCACCCTGTGAGGAGTCGATGGAGACGAGAGAGGTGGAGGACAGAGAAGAGGGGAAGAGCAGAGCAGAGGAAAAGAGGAGAGAGAGAAAAAGAGATGCAATGAAAGGGCAGGAAGGACGGGACGGAAAGAAGAGAAAACTCTTGTTTAAAGTTTGCCATATTTTCTCTGCAGACTATTAAAAAACACTAGCAGTGAATCTAACGTGTTACATTGTGAGAAAAAAACTGCTGAGAAGAGAGCGAGAGATTAACAAGCAGTCAGTCAGCAAAACTGGCTAATCTGGTGCAGTACAGCATTCACAAGGATGTAGCTCAGGCTCTGTGTGGCTCTCTCACTTCATGGCTAATGTGGGGAAAAAAGACCCTTAATTGCACACAATGCTGTTGTTGTTTTTAGCGTTTGTAGCTCTGAATCGCCTTTATCTATCCCACAGTGAGTTAGACATGAAGGGAGAGAGAGTTCACAGCCATAACTGTGCCCCACCCCGGTTCCCCTACCAAAAACACACAGTTAAAGAAAGGGGAAGGAGTGGCAGGATGATCGTGTCATTATCTACGTTTGGATGAACAGCTGATGAACAGACACATAAATAAAACTACAGGTGTAAGAAGACAAGTCAGCCAGTCAGATTTTAAAAAATGAAAAAAAAAAAAGGGGGCAAACACACACACTCTCACATGGCCAGCAACCAATCACTGACAGACACAGCATGCTTTCCCGAATTCAGAACAAACAGTGTATTAGGCCAAACATCCCTATTGAAACAAAAATAAATAAACAAGGAAAGAAACACACACCACTGCATTCTACCCTAAGGAATCAGTTCCTGCATTCAGGACCACACAGTTGCTGCTATGGGAGGAAGGCTGGACCGGGGGAGGAGGGGAAGATGAGGGAAGGAGAGACGGAGAAAGTAGAGGTGATGGAAAAGGATAGGAGGGAAGGTGGGAAATCACAGTGAACATAAGAGTAGAAAAGAAGGGTCTGATAATAATAAAAATGAAGAGGAAGAGAAAGTACTGAACTAGATAAGAACCTTTAGTAAAGGTCTACTTTAACAGTCAAAGGAGGAAAGGATGAATAAAAAGGGAGGTTTGCAGAAATAAAAGGAGAAGATTTGGGAGGAAATACAAGGGGTGGGGCGGGGAGTCAGCCTTGTAAGTATGTCTGCATGCTGACATTGATTCAGTTAGCATGCCACAGGTGAAACAGATAGGGAGATTCCTGGAAGGGGTCTGAATGATCTGCTAATTGGATGAAAGAAAATCTCTCTCTACATCCCTTTAAAACTGCGAGTACTCTGTGTACTCAAATCACAGGTTTGCGTATTATCATCTTCGTTAATACATGAAATGCGACGTCACGGAAAGCTACGGTGCACGATCGCTCAAGTGAAATTTAAAAAGCAGGTTTCACAAAATGAACAAGCGTTTGGGCTTAAAAATGACAACGGCAATTCAACCCCAATTTTCAGGGAGTTTCTCACAAAATAAAGAAAGAAAACAAAACGCAGTGATTAAAAAATGAAGCCTAACATTTGTTTGCTCCATCAACAAGAAGCAAAAAGATCATGTTCGGGTATACAGGGCTTAACAAATTTATTAGACCACCTGTCATGAATACAAGAAAACACAAATGAGTCTTGTTCAAAGACTAAGGATTATGTTTATTAGACAAATAGACTGATTTCATATTTTTACACCCAAAGTGGAGCCGAGCATCCTAAGAGGTCAGAAATTAATCAAGCTTAACATTAAAACCACTAAAACTATGTTTTTCTGCTCAGGGATGCAAGTAAATACCTGTAATTTAGCCTCTTAATTAATGAAAAAAGCTTTACTATTTTATTCTGCTTTTACTGTCAAACAGTAATTTTTTTAATTCATTAGTTACAACAATAATTAGCATTAAAAGTATCATTTTAATTAAAGAGCTTGTGCATACTGGCAGATTAACAATTACAGAAACATAAAAAATTATTTTGCTAATTACAAATCCTGTTAATTCAGGGCACTTGTGGTATAAACCAAACATTTGGTGGTGGTCTAATGAATTTGTTTAACACTGCGTGTGTGTGTGTGCACTAATGGAAAGCTGATGTGTCAGCATAGATCAGATTCAATCGAGTTTTTCAAGCTCTGACCAAAAGTATATCCCTCGATCCCTTTTCCACTACTTCCGTTGGACACTGCACTTAATTTACAGAAAAACATATCAGACCAGCCGCCGTTTGGTTTTGTTTTTTTCTAAAATGTTTTGCATTCTTTCCTCCCCCTTCCGCAACTCCGCCCATGTCAGAATCCAGTGAGTTAGTAGAAGAAGACAGAGAAGGCATTTCAATCTCAGATGGTCAATAATGTCTAGCAGCACGCAGTCATTGGAGACGAGGAGGATGCACACTGGCTCTCACACAGAGTGTGTAAAACCCTACCTGGGGCAATCTGCCACTAATGTCCTGAAACACTAGTCTACAGAGAGAACAGAAACATCTATTGTCAACCTGGTCACACACGCGCACACACACACCATTACACACAGGCACACACTCGTAATCACATTGGTACAAACTAACTCACAAATGCACAGAGACAAACCCTAGAGGAGTCTACTCACGAATGAGTGCACGGTTTTGCCGTGTTGTGCTGGACAGCTAAGCGAACACTGGCGCGGTGAATGTGAGACTGTGCAAATTTTGATTTCAATCAAAGGCCTCGTTTAAGTTTCAGTAAAATGTCAAGCGGTGATGAGTCAAAACACTCAAAAGTACACGTCTCTACGGGTTTGATCCGTGCCATTTCACACTTGAAAACCCACAAGGCAACAAGGGGGAGGGGAAAGGTAGGTGACGAGGGAGGCAGTGGAGGAGAGGCAGGCGTACTTACATAGAGATCAGCTGCACCGTAAAAACCATCCTGATAGGCCATCACACTGAGAGAGAAACAGATAATACAGGAGAAAGGGGGGAGGACAGATAGAGAGTAGAAAAAGGAGCGGTGGTGGAAAGTCAAAACAAACAAAACGAAACAAAAGGGAAAAAAATGGTGTGATGCGCCACCATGTGGGCAGTGCAGAAAACAACAAACAAGAGTGACGATTGAGGGGGAAAAGATGGGAAAACGGTGCCAAACAGATTGTGAGAGAGAGAAGAGAGAAAGAAGGGTGAGATTATTACACACCGTGCAACATGCAGGACAAAAATACCACCTCTTTGTATGCAAATGCCTCAAAGTGATACTACTGTTTCTTCGGCTGCTTATTAAACATTGAAAAAACTACTCAATATAGCTATCATTACCATTTTGGAGTTACAAGGAAATGGTATTTCAGCTCAGCCAACCATCAATGTCAACTCTCAATCAAAAATTTATATTCAAACACACAGCATGCATTATTTTTTATTTTTTTTATATAAAAGTGCAGCCATGCTTTTAAGAAGACGATTGATCCGATCTGTGACATCATCGTCACTATTAGCGGTGTTGTTATTTTTGAGTGTGTTTACCCAGGATAGGTGGGGATGGCAGGCTGTGGAACAGCGGCCCTGACTGCGCTGTAGACGGGCCGAGCACGACCTCGGAGATGAGCGCCTCGAAAGGTTGCAGCGGTCGAGGCAGCTGCTGCTGCTGCTGCTGGGTACGGAAACCCTGGTACTGAGAGCAAGAGAGACAGAATTAAAACACAGTTTATTTTTATTGATGTCGATTAAACATTTAGATGCTAAATTACAATCATTTGTCCTACAAATCAATAAAAAGCAGCAAATGCTTGCTATAACTCCCCAGAGATCAACTGATGTTTTCAAATTCAACTAAAAACTAAAGATGACCTATCAACATCTAATATAAATCTATCTAACACACAGAAAGTATTGCACCTTCATTTTTAAGCATAAATGTCAAACAGCTGTAAAAAACTGGAGCAGAACGCTGAGTAATCCTTGCATTTCTTTTTTCAATACCCAGCAAACTTTTCGATGTAGACTAACTCTCGGGCTGGCGGTATTTTCTAGATGTCTAGTCATGACTGAATAATAGTCCCCCGGGAAAAAAATTCAACTGACATCTCGGAAGTTACCATAACGCCAGTTTCAGGTCACCTCAACGTTACCTGGACATCCTTGTAAGAGTTTTGAGAATTTTGTTTTGCATCGCTCTCCTTTTCAAGGAATTTTATTCCCAGATGAGAAAAAAAATCTACACGAAAACATGTTTCTCAATGAAAAAGGAGAGAGAATGGGAAAGAAAAAACAAAACACCCCAACAGTGCAACAAACTCACAATCTCACACTTTTGGGTCCACCACTTCTCCCACTGAGCTAATTGATTTCCCGTGTCAGTAGTAGCACTCCTTCCTGAGTTTAAGATGCTGACATCGCAGACAGCGAGGGGAGAAGTGTAAGCGTGTGATGCATCAAGTTCATCCGGTAACAAGTGAAATGTAATTTGGGTGTTTATCTATTGAACTATTTAAAAAAATATGTCATTAGATATTGAGGTGACATTCACACAACAATGTGCTAGCTAAATTAGCTGTCATTGTTAAGAATAAATAAATAAATAATCTGAACTGTGTTTTGCACTTTGTAAAAATCAGAAAAGTTTGGCCTGAAATCTTATTGTGATCAGTTTTGGGAGACATGCAAGCAATGTTTGCTGGGTATCAGTCAGGTAAGAATAAAGGAAGGCTTTCTTACCTGTATAGAGCTCAGGACTGTAAATGCCTCCAACCATAGGACTCAGCTTCCATCCAGCTATAATAAAGAAAATTGACAACCACATGTAAACAGAAACGTGTCACAGAAGCGACGGGCAGCCAGGGTTCACACGACATTTACTCATTCCTGCATGTTGTTTGTTTCTTTGGGGAGGGGGTGGGGGTAGTGTCTGCCGCTTTAATTTAGTGACAATAATTTCTGCCCCATCTCTCTGGTCCAACCGTGCAAAATGCATTACCATATGGCAGTGCCGCAAGGCCCTCTCCGTTCGAGTACGGCGTGGTCATCTTCTTGTTTGTCATCACTCTGGCTGTGGCGTTATTAACCTGGACACCAAAGAAAGTGATCAGAGGCTCAGTTCATTCACTTTTAATGGTTGACACAAGCACAGTCCAATCACAGTTCAGGTTACGTTTTGTCTGTGACACTTCATATGATTACTGGAGCTTTCATATTCAGTGAGGTGTCGTTTTACTTTTCACAGTTTTGTACTTATGACAGGGGTTAATTCTGTTGATGAGCAGCGATGGTATTTGTTGCATGCGCTTCTTTTGAAGGAGAAAGACATTGAAAACAAGGATCCTGGTGAGTAGTCAGGCAGTTTTGCACGCAAACAATGCAACCATTGGCACACAGAACAAAGAAAACAACAAAATATCTGAGATCAAAGGCATTCAAAAAGAAATCCAAGACCATTATTTTGCTACCTTAAAAAAAAGGAGGGAAAAAGAAGGTGAATTAAGCGGCAGATTCATCAGTTGAACACAATGCAAAAAACATCAATCGAAGAGTTCATACACAAATTACACACGGCCAATCAAGAGCGCATCACATCACCAGAGGTGAGCAAAACTAGCCAGTCAGCAAGCATCAGATGCAGCAAGAGACCAATCAAATAAGGTCGGCAGCCCTCCCAATCAAATACACATCATACAGAAAAAAAGGAGGAAGAGGAGGGAGAGAGAACAACAGAGAAAGGACAGAAATATAAAAGGGATGCAGAAGGAGGAGCCAGTCCACATGAAAACACACAGAAAAAACACACACATGACGTGAAGAAGAGAGACAGCGAGTGAACAGTCCATCCAAATGTGCAGTTCTTCAAACAAACGAACAATAAGATGCAATACACTCGTACAACATTCATCTGACCGTTTGCCTACATTGTATCTAACTGTACGTGAGCAGTGATGGAGAAATGATGGATGGAGCAAGAACGAGTACAGAAAGAGAAAAAGTCTAGATAAAAGACAGAGAGGATGGGGGATGCAAATATCATTCCTCAAATCAAAAAATAAAAATCAAATGAAAAAAATCAAACAGAAACCACGGCTGTGAAACACTGCCAGGCATTTCAGATCAGTGTCACACGCCAGAAACACCTCGAAGCACACAACCACCAACACACACCATCCAGAACCAAACTTATCGAAAACAAGGAAACCGCTTAACAGAAATCAGAACAAAGAAAAGCTGTCGCTGATTTAAAAAAAATTCTACTAATTATTTCATGACAGCTTTTTTAAAAAATCTTTTGTATTTTTTTTTCTCAAATTACCACATTTAGTAAAATTGCTTTACGGTATGCTTGCATCCCCTTTAGGGCAACACACTATTCATCCACAGGTACAGCTTTAAGAGGAAATGTCACGTCTGCACAGCCGTATCTCTGCAACTGTCTGCAGTCCGCAAATTGGTGCAGAAGGTTGTAGTCAAGCACTACAGCACGCCATGATATACACACTACTATTATCCCCTCTCCAGTTAAGCTAACATTGCAAACATGCTTTAGCATGCTGTCCCACTAAGGTGCAGAAAATGCAGCTATCAGCTGACACATGACACAGAGAGATGACATAGTACTATATGACGTCATACAGATGACGAGAAAGAGAGTAAACCATGCAGGATACAGCTCTGGAATTAAATGCTGAATGCAGTTAGAGAGGTGATTGGAATGAACGCATAAGAAGTGGTAGTCATAGTTGTTGCACTTGCAGATAGATGCAGTACATTCAGTTACACAAGTGGCCTTTTTGTAATGCCATGCGGTCAATGGCTAATCACGTAAATCGTTTCATTCACCACCTCCCCAAATCAATCACAGGGTTAGCCAATCAGGTTCTGTCAATCGACCAATCAAGCCTCCCTTAAGTAAGAGGAGTCCTTCATTTGGGTGTTGGGTGCATCGTTATTTATTCTTTTTAATTTCATTTGGACGGATGGGGTTGGGGGGAGGGGTCATTCAAAGATGATGCCATGTGTACACAACTTACCGTTGGCAGGGAAACGGCGTGAGGACACGCGAGCAGTTACCGTGGAGACTGACAACAACAACAACATACAAAAATCATCAGGGAAATAGAGAAAATATATGTAAGAAAGAAATGATGAACCAAAAAAACAAAACTAAACAAAAAAAAAAGAGTAAACATAAACAAAACGAGGTAATGAAAAGCAACCCCCACCCTGTGGTAGAGAGGAAGTGATGTAACAGGTCACGTGTCAACAGTCACCTACAAGAATCAGCCACATCACAACAATCTAGCCTCTAAAAAAACAATTAAAAAAACAACAACAACAAAAAACCCTCTGCGAACAAATGAAAGAAACAGAACGGAAACAGAAAATGTCAGAAATTAAAATATAACTTGGGGAAGGAAACTACACGTTATAGTATTGTCCAGGTTATATTCAAATAACTGACAAAGTTATCACTCAAAGTCTAACTGATTCCCACTCTCTGGTGTTTGTGCTACCTGACTACATCCCAGGAGGGGGGAAATGGACAGAGAAATTTAGGTAGGAATGGACAGAAGAGATGAAGATGCATATGGGACACGAAGTGGGAAAGACAGACTGACTGGCTGGGTGGGGGGGAAAAATAGAGTGGAGAAAGATAGAGGACCAATGAAATAAAAGGACAGGAGAGGGGATGACTATTCTCTTCACTTGTTTGTTCTGTCTCCACCCTCCATATTTTTTATTTATTCATTTTTTGAAACATTCTCCACACCCACACACAAGAGACAGAGAAGAGAGCAGGACATTCAGGACCATGCAGAAGAGCTTTAGTAGCAAGTAGAAATAATTTTTTAAAAAAGAAAAAAAATATCAAAAGCGTGATTTTAAAATCAAAAGAGCCAGAGCAAATGGCGAAAGCACGGTGTATTTGATCTCCCAGGCCATTTGCAACTGAAATCCGAGCTCATGCTGACAAATTAAAGGAAAAAAAAGGAAAAATAAGTCACAAGAAAAAGCACTTCCATGAGATCTAGTGTTGTTTTTCAGGAGCGCTGGATGCAGGTGTGTGTGTGTGTGTGTGTGTGTGTGTGTGTGTGTGTGTGTGTGTGTGTGTG